TAGTCTTGTACAAAACTCTCTCAGCCGCTATTCCTCTGCAAAACACTTGCAGGCACTAGTCTTGTGCAAAAATACTTGCAGGCCCTGTTCTTGTGAAAAACACTCTCAGACACTTTTGTTCTCCAAAACAAAAACAGGCAATAGTCTTGTGCAAAACACTTACAGGCACTAGTTTTGTACAAAACTCTCTCAGCCGCAGTTCCTCTGCTAAATACTTGCAGGCCCTTGTCTTGTGCAAAAAACTTCCAGGGCCTGTTCTTGTGAAAAACACTCCCAGACACTCTTGTTGTCCAAAGCACAAACAGGCAATAGTCTTGTACAAAACACTTATAGGCACTAGTCTTGTACAAATCTCTCTCAGCCACTATTCCTCTGCAAAACACTTGCAGGGACTAGTCTTGTGCAAAAAAACTTGCAGGGCCTGTTCTTTTGAAAAACACTCTCAGACACTCTTTTTGTCCAAAACACAAACAGGCAAAAGTCTTCTGCAAAAAACTTCCATGCCCTGTTCTTTTGAAAAGCACTCGCAGACATTCTTGTTGCCCAAATCAAAAACAGGCATTGGTCATGGGCAAAAAACTTACAGGCATTAGTTTTGTACAAAACTCTCTCAGCCGCAGTTCCTCTGCAAAACACTTGCACGCCCTAGTCTTGTGCAAAAAACTTGCAGGCCCAGTTCTTGTGAAAAACACTCTCAGACATTCTTGTTGTCCAAAACAAAAACAGGCACTAGCCTTGTGCAAAACACATTCAGCCGCTGTTCCTCTGCAAAACACTTACTTGGCCTAGTCTTGTGCAAAAAATTCACAGGACCTGTTCTTGTGAAAAACACGCTCAGACCTTCTTGTTGCCCAAATCAACAACAGGCATTGGAAAAGGGCAAAAAACTTGCAGGCCGTGTTCTTGTGAGAAACACACTCATGCACTCTTCTTGTCCAAAACAAAAACAGGCAATAGTCTTGTGCAAAAACACTTGCAGGCCCTGTTCTTGTGAAAAACACTCTCAGACATTCTCGTTGTCCAAATCAAAAAAAGGCATTGGTTATGGGCAAAAAACTTGCAGGCCCGGTTCTTGTGAAAAACACTCTCAGACACTCTTGTTGTCCAAAAAAAGTACAGGCAATAGTCTTCTGCAAAACACTTGAAAGCCCTAGTCTTGTGCAAAAAAACTTGCAGGCCCTGTTCTTGTGAAAAATACTCTCAGACATTCTTGTTGTCCAAATCAAAAATAGGCATTGGTCATGGGCAAAAAACTTGCAGGCCCTGTTCTTGTGAAAAACACTCTCAGACATTCTTGTTGTCCAAATCAAAAACAGGCATTTGTTATGGGCAAAAATCTTGCAGGCCCTGTTCTTGTGAAAAACACTCTCAGACATTCTTGTTGTCCAAATCAAAAACAGGCATTTGTTATGGGCAAAAATCTTGCAGGCCCTNTCTCCAAAGGAAGGAAGAACAGAACATTGTTGTTTGAAAATGCCTCTTTCAGGGTTGCAATATGGATCAAAGGGGAACCTTCGTCCCCAGACGAACAACCCAGTGAAATAAAATCCACATTTCCCTTCCATTGTTGCAGGTTTAAATTATTTAATTTTGCAGCAGCTGCCTCATGACAGATAATCTAAGATTAATCTGGTGTTTTCTTTTTGCAGATCTGCAAACATGTCATTGAAAAAGAGATAAAAATAACTGTGCTGGATCTGAGGTGATGCAGAGGGAAGAAATGCCTTCGGTAAAACATTAAAAGCCAGTGGAAAACGAGGTTTTGCTAGCATTTTCCAAGTTACTGACATTTTCTATTTGTATGTTTTGGATTTAACACTTTGATATTTATTGCCCTTTTCTCATTTTGAAGTTGTTTCATTGTACAGTCAAAATGAAGCTCACGGTGGCATTCAGTCCGGGTATGTTATTTTATTGGAATAATATGACAATAAAGTGAACTCAACACAATGACAGTCTCGACCCCGTTTGCAAATTTCTGTTTATTTTTCCTCCCCTCTGGAGTATATATATGATCGTTTTCCTGCCCTACAAGGTATTCAGGGGTGCCTAAGTGTGACACGTGAATGTTTACAGCATGTTTAAAAATACCGGTTATAACACTAGCTATAAAACACAACAGGAAACAAGAATAGACTAGTCGACAGGATCAAAGCAGATTCTGCTGAGAAACACACAGAAAAACTGTGGGCAAATAATAAAGTGAACTATGAATGTGTGAGCTCACAAACAGAGGAGTTCCCTCTATTCAACTAGCTTCAGTCCCAAACACCTGCTACTGCATTATTACAGGGTCAGTGTTGCCTCCCTATAAATTCACTGTAGAAGGAAGAACCTTAAAATAGTTCTGATTTTTCTGAATCACAGCAGGTATGGAGGGTTCACCGACAAAACCGCGCTCGACTAAACCGCGCTCGATTAAACTGCGTCGCTGACATCATCAAC